TTCCCTACAAAGGATATAAAGAAAGCTGAGTAACATGTCATTTACCACCTTCTAAGAAACAGAACATATTTCTAGACCTCCGAAAATGAATTGGTCTTTTTCTATGTTAGAAAAACACCACCAGTGATGGAAAGTCTTTCCTGATAACAATAATAATGCATTCTCCTATGCTGAGAAAGGTTATATACAATTTCAGACTGGACAATATTTCAATGGAGTGTATTACCGCTACCCTCTGTCCATTTAATAAAATATGAAACACACAATTTCTAATGTTGTATGCTTTTAGACTACTTAGTGAAAACAGCAGTGTTGTTGGAGCCACCAACTGCCAGCCGTCATGCCCAGCAAGATGAGTGCTGTCCTTAGTCTTGCCCAGACTAGGGTAATTTTGTGGTAAATTCCACAAAAAATATGAAGGGAAAACTTCTTCCTTGTTTACTTATAGGACTGTCAATTTTAATGCTTGGCACAAAGTTACCACTAGGAACTGTGTGACGGGAGACAACTCCAACATTGTAATCCAGTTTTTCATCTGCATGTTTGTTTCTTGGCATTGCCTCCTTTCTGACAATCTTGACTCAAGCAAGAAATTCTTCTTATCCTGGTGATGTTCTTGGATTTATAAGGAATATGTTACCTTCAGATTTAGCATCTTTCCTTCCAGCCTGACATTCTCCTTCTGAATGAAGTGGCTGAAACATGAGGCTCCCTGTAGATTTATCAGGCACTTTCAGTCCTTCTTTATAGACTATCGTACAATGTACATGCACAAGTTGAACTAGTGCTTTTGCAGAGAATTCCTGATTCTTGCATTTCTGAGGAGATAAAGAGGAAAAATATTTTTATTACCAGTTAATGAGAAGCCCATTAACAATCTTCTTCCCAAATTCAGAGGTTCTATCTTGGTTCTATCTTACTGACTTCACATGCCAACATTTTTCACATTGGTCTGATGTTACAGTAAGACAAGGCATGGTCAGTTCTCAATTTCATAGATGCAAAGTTGTTAGCAAATGCAGTGTTAATATCTAATCAGGAATAGTCAGTCAGTGTCTTCCTACATACTGATATTTTTCCACAGATCGTTTATGTTTGTTTCTGAATTCTTAATACTTAGTGGCAAAGATGCATCCAGGATTTTTTATATCAAACCTTGTAAAAGTTAAATTCAAATCTACTCTGTGTTTTGCCTGAGAGTTACTGAGAAGCAGACTTCTTTGGTATAAGTAGCTACGCTTTTATTCTCAAACAGATCTTTTCTCCATGTGTATGGAATTCCTTTCATGCCCTGTGAATACCTTCACTGCCTAGAAATTAATCATCATAAATCTGGAAAAGCTTGTAACATTAGGATTCAGACAACCGTATTCTGGAGAGCTTTCCTGAAAGCCAGAAGCTACAGGAAGCAAAGCTTCTGGAAGACCCAATGTTTGGTAACTGACACAATGCAAAATCTAAATTGTTAGCAAGCTACAAAGTCATGACTCTGAACATGTTAGGAAGAATTGTAGTAGCTTCTTTATGCTTTCAAATCAAGATTCAATGCTTTAAAAAAATCATAATCTATTTCAATCACAAATACTGTATTTGAAATGTAAGAGAATTCTAGAAAACCCTGTTTTTTGCAGTGGAACCAACAAGATGACAACACTAGTCCCTTCTGTCCTTGAAATCTATGATTTTCTGAATGCCATTTTCTCTAACATAACACTGTACAATCACAATTTAGTAATTTCAGTCTGATTTTTTTTTCTGTCTTGTGTTATGTTTTGTTTTCTTTTCTTTTCTGGCTTTACATTTTTTTGTTCCCTTTCTTTTTCGTTTGTTTTTTTCTGTTTGTTTCTTTGTTTTACTCCAGGAATTGGTCAAGGGGTTCCAGTGGTGGCCCTCATTGTGGAAGGAGGTCCCAATGTTATCTCCATCGTTCTGGAGTACCTAAGAGACACTCCTCCTGTTCCTGTTGTGATATGTGATGGCAGTGGCCGAGCATCTGACATCCTTGCCTTTGGTCACAAATACTCTGAAGAAGGAGGGTAAGTTAATTCCCAGTGTATGCTCTTCCACCATGCACAGGTTCAGTTTGGTGGTAAGACTGAGCCCAGGAAATTATTAGCAATATGATGCAAAAGCATACCTTTCTCCTATGGCTTTTTCCATCATCAATATGGGGGAAACATTGAAGACATCCAGAACAAAACAAAAAGAAAGTGAAGGCAACACTAACGAAATCCTACAGAATAAAACAGTGATGTAGAAACTGTATCATATAGTTACTTGCCATTAGGCGTAATACATTGACAAGTACAATGTATGGTATCTTGGATTTGCAAGTCAAGGGATTCAGTCAATGGGCATAGGAAATTGTTTTCACTGGTTTAGATACACTATGTCTTTTTAATATAGTGTACTGTACTGCTGTCTTCAGGTTTCATTCAGCCCTTCGTGTTCATATGAGCTAGTCTGTATTTGCCTTGCCTTTTAGGCATGATTCTGCACACCCATCTGTATTCACACGACTGCTTGTGCACTGATCTATATTTGCACTGTCCTACCTTTCTCTGCAGACTTAAGGTGAGGCAAGGATAGTATTTAGCTTTTATTACGGAATATTTGAGTGTGTTTCTGTTGAATCAGGCTGTAAACATGCTTTGCAAATCTGAAAGTGTATATTATTACTGAATTCCCAGATCTTTAATATCCTTTGTTCTTCTCCTCTACCCCCAAAACTATGTAAACAACCACAGAATCACAGAACAGCTGAGGTTGTAAGGGACCTCTGGAGGTCATCTAGTCTAACACCTCTACTCAAGCAGGGCCACTTGAAGCCAGTTGCCCAGGAGCATGTCCAGATGGCTTTTGAATATCTCCAATGATGGAAAAACCACAGCCTCCCTGTGCAACCTGTGCCAGTGCTTAGTTACCCACAGAGTTTAAAAAAAAAATGTATTTCCCTTTGGAATGTCAATGTATGTGTCCTTGAGAAGACAAGAGACAAGAAGCTTGAATCTGCCTTATTACAAGGGCTGATGATAGGCTTTCCTCCTGAAGAGGCAGACTTTTCACTCACCTAGGGCAGTCTTACAACTGTAAGCAAGACTTTGTTAGGCTGCCATAGAATGAGGCTGCCAGCACAACACAGAGAGCTGAGCCTGCACTGCCTTGCAGGAGATGCTGCTGCCTGCAGCTATGTGATGTACCAAGAACAGGTGAAAAGGAACTGTAAAGCATAGCTTGACATAAAGGTGTCAGTGGAGGTAAATCAGTTTTGAGGCCTCAGTATCTCATCTCTCATTGAAGGTCCAGGGGGAAGGCAAGGCAGATACACAGTTTCCCACTGACCTGAGGTTTCAGCCTCATGAATATCAGTTACCCAGAATTAACATAGCTCTGTTTTTTTAAAGTTTGCTGTAACTTTAATATCAGGTACTACACATTGCCTAGGTCTGAAAAGTCCTAAATGAGAAGAAGGCTTAAATACAACCTTCTTCATATGATGAATTGGATGAATTGTTTGGCCACTTGTCACTGTTGGCCCTAATTTAAAGGTCAGGTTCTTAAGGCTCTGAAGCACTTAATTTCTCTTTTACTTAAAAGTTGAAAAAATGTTGAAAAGTGTTGTGGTATAAGAACAGAAGATCAATCATAAACACCCAGATTTAGTGCCTACTAAGCACTAAGTGAATATCCTAGTTTTTAATAGCTCTCCTCCACATAAAGCCAAAGTATTTTTGACTGTATAATCAAATATGCCTTCTCATTTGGTTGTCTTGCATAAAAGCACAACTTGGAAGTAAAACAACTGTAAAATACAGCTCTTTATGGGATTATTCAGTAGTTTTTAACCCTCAGAGATTTTTTTACATTAAATGCTGAATTTAAAATGAGAAAAATGAAACACTAGGTTAAAACTAAGTCACTTCTTAGACAAATATTTGCTTACAGAATGGGATTTGACTAGCAATATTCGAATGCAATTTCCAAGGCGAGCCTGTAGCATATTAACTACTCCATCAGTTCTACTCCTGCAAGCATGAGACCCTTAAGGAATTCAATTCAATGCCATAAAAATGTACTTCTTGCCTAATGTTCACAAGGAAACATAAAGCATACTCTGCACTTTAAATGAACATCTGAGTATGAGAATCATTAAAGATTCCCTTTGGATTGATCTGTCTCTGCATCCACTGTGGCATAGCTTTTAGGCTTCATAATGAAGTATATGACTTAAATCTCTTTTTTTTATAATGGGGAAAGTATAGTGATTTTTCACTTCAAGCAAAAGGGATCATAATGTGGGTATGATGTACGTCTTCTGTATTCCCTGTGGTGTCTATCACATCATGGATACTATGACACCTGAATTATTCTGTAAGATTGCTTTCACATTGCATATTTTTATATCATTACTTTTCTCTTGTAACAAAGTACTTTGCAAATCAAAAGCTAGATAGAATAAGGTAATTTCTTTTGTTGATACACAGTTGTCTCTCTTTTGGTGAAGGGACAACCATTTAATAAACACAGTCAGGGAAAAATTATGTAGAAAAACAACCACCAGTGAAGAGCTGCAAGTAAAGATAATTCCCCATCAAAGCACCCAAAAATCATTCCTGTGTGAATAGAGTGAAGGAATAATTAACATTTATTTTCTTTCTTTTCTCATGACAATGCTATGCAAAATGCATGGATTTAAAAAGCATGAGAAATTCAGTTTGTCCCACAGAGTAGCACAACTGTGTCTTATTTTTAATTCCAATGGAAGAAAATACCAGCAGAGTCTCTGGTCATGTTTCTTACATACGGTGTGATAGTCTAACATGGGAATCATAGTTAAAACAGAAAATCTGCTAAGTTTCCCATAAAGGAGAACAGGGACTAGTTTTCACATCACACTGATATTTTATGGATATATTTTCTTAATCTTGAATAAAAAGAATAATTAAAAAACAATAATTAGCGAATGAAAAGTTAGAAGCAAGTTATGTGCAGTTCATTGAATGGAGTATTTAATTTAGAGAATTTCAAAACATTTTGATAGCAATAAGTTTAAAAAAATTCCATAATGAACTTGCATTTAGAAATTTAATTAAAGCATAATCATTATAAATCTCTAGTACATTGTGCAACTCCAGTACTAAAAAATCTCTGGAGAAAAAAGTCTAAATAATTTAAGGAGCTGTCTATGGGCCAGATCTTTCAAATCCTTTCCAGTGTTCTCCACAAAATCATATGCTATAGAGTTGAAAGACTATAATGATATTGAATGTAATGACTGTTATTTCCTCAAATATTGGGCATGACTTTAAAAAAAATATTTCTGAGGAGGGAGAATGCCAAAATGTAATATGTCTCTTCTGCATCAGCCAAAGCAATCAAGGGAGTTCTGCTTTGCTCTTTAATTTTCCAGCATATCTAGTCAGAACAAGGATGTAGTTTTGTCACTTTGTTTTAGTTACTCTGCCATTTATCAGTTTTTATGTGTCCTCTCCTGATGCACCCAAGACTGCTTCCTCTCTTTTTTTCCTGTGGTAGGGCCATACAGGTCCGTTCTGATAATCTGATGCATCAAAACTAATGTTGGCATCTTTTTGGAAAAAAAAATAAAAGGAAAATATCACTCTTGGCAACAATTACGAGTAGATATTTTAATTTATTTTTTTTTCAGAAAATAAATGTAGATCTATATGGTTCTACTTTAGATGTCAGATTTTTGACAATAAGTATCTAAATTTCATCAAAACATAAATTAGCAATCCAGTCCCTTTGCAGACAAAAAAAAAATCTTAAGACCAATACTTGTAGGAAAATGGGCTTATTTTATGTAATTAAGGAGTGCAAGAACAGATTTGAGCTATGTGGGGAATTAAAGAGATGAATAGGTCAAATTATCCTTTTGTAAGACATTTCATTTAGGCTGGAGGAAGTTAACTGCAGTAATACTTCCATGGCAAATTAAGTAGAATTCAGGGAATCATGTCATCAAAATGCCCCAAACAGGACTTTATTGGTGTGTAGCGAAATATTTTTTGGACTGAAGCCTAGCAGAAAGATTATAAAAATACTATCTTCATCTGACACTATCCAGTTTTCTTGTGGGGGAGCATGCTGACTTCAAAGGAAATCATAATCATAGAGTTTCATCCTGGTAAAGTGGACAGTTTTCTGCTTACGGAGTTAATGTGCTCTAGGTTAGACCTCTAGCTGCAAGACTCAAGCAGCCATCTCTTTCCCCCTGAATCTGAAATTAGGGAACTGTGATTTTAAAAAATATGGGCTACAGTTTTATCTGTAACAAGTGTGGTTGTCTTTGCATAGTGCATAAATCATCTTCCCACCTGCACATCCCCAATATTTTGCTCACAGTGAAGTTGCTTGTTTTACATACATTTGATTTGGTGTATGCATCATAGATTTAGTTTTTCATAGCCTGGCACAGTTTGTATTTGTCCCAGCTGGGTTACACACTTGGGAACTTTGATCTGAGACTTTCTAACATTTATAGATTGCTAAGGAGTAAATGTGATATAGTCTTGGTATGACTGATTTCAGTTCACACAAAGCCTAACTCAGCTATAACTACTTTATCAGAAAGCTTGCTATTATTGTTGTTTCTAGTTTCAGTCATTTCAGGCTTTTCATCTCACAAAGTCATTGAACAGGCTTGCTGTAGAATTGCAGACTGATGAGATGTTAAAAAAAAAAGTAGTTTTGGATGCTACACTTTTTGTTTAAAGAAAATCAAATTATAGTGAGAAAACAGGATGGTTTTCATCCCAGGGTCTTTGGAAATGTTTTCTGAAGTTGTCTAAATTCAAATTCTTCCAACTGTATATTTTTTCATATACTTTATATATTTTTCATACTTTTTCACATACTTCACTTTCGTATATCCTTTCCAAAGGAAATTAGACTTTTATTTAAATCTCTTTAGCTTCTTCAGTTGATGTTTTCAGGAAACTTGTTCTTATTGTTTAGCCCATTTTTTCTTTCTTAGTTTGAAAGGTGGAAAATTGCATAGTTCTGAACACTCATATTTATAGTGATAGTTCCTTTCTGCACCATTAAAGCAAATTTTCAACTAATTTTTTTTTTTTTTAAAACCTCAAAAAGAGGCTTTGGAATGTATATCACATATGATCTACTAACCTGCAACTCAAAGTACATTAATACTTTTCAGGATATTAGTCTTTCCAGGTTGATTCTCTAACATAGAGTGAATCTACATTTCTACCGGTGCTCTAATGTCTTGTCTCGCATTCCCATGTCCTTGCTTCTATACAAGAGGTCAGGTTACTTTTCTTACAGCTCTCACACAGAAAGTCCTCTACTGTCAGCTCTTATTGCTGCCCTCTACGAGGGTTGGAGGTTTCAACTCACCGTATGTTGCCTTTTTGTGAGGAAAGCAGGTCATGCTGAGGGGAAGGAGTGCTTATGTAGTGAGTGAGCAGTAAATGCAGGATTGTTGCCTCTCCAGTATCCCAAGAAAAAGCACACTTGGAGCTGTACTGCTCGTTGATGAAAAGAGGAAATGCTGAGGTAGACTCCATTCAAGAGGGGTCCGTAATAACACGGAAGACAAGAGGAGGAGCCAGGTATAGAAAAAAAGGCCAGCGACCCGCACAGCATGGTCTAAAACTCCATGTAAACTAATTTTAATCAAATACATTGACATATCCCTTACAAGATTCTTTGTGAAGTGTGAGTCCTACTCAATAGGGGTATTTACAGTCAAAGTCAAATTTAGAGAGTAGAGAGTACGTGCACTCCATATGCTAGGCTTTCTGTATTGTCCTACACACCTCTGTATCTCTTTCTCATATCAATTCATTGTTTGTTCTAACAACATGATTGCTGCAGCTATAAAGACTAGATAAATAATATTTGAAATTCAATTGTGTAGTGAATATCCTGCAGTCTCATTTGAGCTTTCTTGCTGCAAAGAAATACAGATGACTTTTACCAATAGTAAGAAATAAACAGGAGTTTGCTTATTGTTCTCCCACAGCAGCTGCCATAAGCTAAAAATGACTTTTAGATACTGTGCTGCTTCTGACAGTTCTTTGCATTTCCTGCAGTTCTAAATCTTGCTTTATCTTCTGTCATAAAATATGAGTCATGAAGATTCTCTGAATTTCTTTCCCTCAGATGATCAACAATGACTTATCCTGTAAAACATTTTGACTCAGCTAATTTGGAACACTTAGCTGCAATTTTTAAGTGAGAAAACTGCTATAGCAGTGTAGAAGCCTTCATACATCTAAGGATACATATTCTAAATTAGAGCCCACTCTTTTGTAAGACATTAAGAACAGCAACGTTGCACCCAGAACAGTCCTGAGGAATAGGCTTTTTGATATCAAGATGGAGGGTTCATGTACTAATATTACTATTTATTTCCACTGTTGATGCAATTTTTGAAAGTACTAGCATTAGAACTGAGGAAGAGTATAAAAATGGTTACTCTCTAAACTGGATGATCTACATTAACAGAATCAAAATGGAACACAGAAATACGTGGGAACTGAAATATAAACTTTGGAGCAAACAGAATAAACAAACAGAGATCCCAACATGATCAATGTATTTTTCTAGAATAGTTTTTTCCAATTTGTCTGTGGTTGTTTCAGCAATTCCTGTCCATCAGACCTGTCCAGAACAACCTGCAGTGATTTGGTGTGTAACTCTTTATTTGACCTTTGGCTGAATTTGCAATGTTCCCTCATGTCTGTTTTTCTAATTTATTTTTTCTCTTTGAATTTCAGACTTATCAATGAGTCTTTGAGGGACCAGTTGCTAGTTACCATACAGAAGACCTTCACGTATACCCGAACCCAGGCTCAGCACCTCTTCATTATCCTTATGGAGTGCATGAAGAAGAAGGAGCTGGTATGTTCACATTTTCCTTAGAGGCAAAGAGAGAGCTCAATGCATTGTTTTGATCAAGTCAGATAATTCAGATGACTGTTCAAGAATTCCACAAATCTGATCCAGAATCTGAAAGGATATTATATCATGCTGATTTTTGTTTGCTTTAATTTGTATTTTCTCATTTAACATAATTAAAGCAATGGATATGTTCCCTTTGTAAACTCATCTACATTTCCTTTGACAGGACAAAATCTAGCCAGTAGAGTATAGGTATTATTAATTTGCAGTTATCCTCAGGCATATCATAATTAAAATGCTACCTCATTCAACTACAGAAAACCTCAGAAGGAAACATAATTGTTTATCTGCCACTAGGACCATATTTTAAAGATGTTGTAGAGTTGGACATGTATCATTTGGGCTGTTATTTTATTCTGAAGATTTGTGACAGGAATAAAAACCAGTTTCTTGTCAAGGCTCCTGTTCTGCAGTGGCAAGGCTATCCCTTTAATGCATATTTACACCTTATTTAAAGACTCAAGATCTTTCAATGATTTCTGGGAGCTCTATGAGACTGCTTTTGCAAAAGTGGTTTTGAAGTTATTCACCTTGTAAAAATCTTGGGATTTGCTTCCAGGGGGTTTTATTCCTTACAAACTGACTGAATAAACATACTTCAATTTTGTAACTTAATCTTTCTTCTAAGCTTTATTTTCAGCTTTTATCATGGCTTCCAGGCTGATGGCTTACGTACTCTAGATGATCCTGCTCTGTCAGGGGGG